TCATTAGCACCTCTAGTATCATATTTACTGAGAAAAATGTTGACGTGTTCAATACTTATTTTACCCGCTGTATTACTGGTTTTATCAATTGAAAGTAAAATTGAAAGTATTTCTGACTCAAACTTAACATCAAGTCTCATAGAAGCATCATGTCTGCAGACAACATAATATCTAAACGTACGTATATTAACCCTGCTTCAGTAATGTGACAAAAATAAGCACAAGTTGAAGCTGACAAATGTCAGGTATTAGAGAAACACTATGCCACATAACCTTGCTAGTTATAATTACAGTATCTGCAGTCACTTGTACCTTATGTCTTATTAGCAAACAAAACATTCACACAATCATCCCAAATCTAGACAATTTCACTGCATTGCTTGATTATTTTTATACAATGATGACTGTTATGTGGAATGTTTTGCCATGACTTATTTTTCATAAGAAACATTGGAATTAATATAAATAAATATACAGTTACAGGACTTTGATGGGATCAATGTTATAGTAATTTAGTTTATAGTCATTAATTCACAAAAGCAGTGCCCATCTTGTATGTTGATGTCAGTCCAGGACGATATCAATTTAGGATTGTTTATGAAAATGCCATTTACCAAAAAACTGTATTTTAATATCAGAATTGAGGAGGCAAATTAAAATACTTGCAGGTAAAACAGTTTTCTGCATCAAGTTTGACTTTTCCATTTAAAAAATGTTGAAGAAACTATTCAAATGCAAACCAGACTAACAACACAGAGCAAAAAATGGGTTTTAGGAGATGCCATATAACTACATAAAAAAATTCTAACAAAAATGAACTCGGAGAATTCGGCCTGCAAAGCAAAGCACGAAATAGATTCCTAACGTTTAATCACAGAAAAGAACACAGTACTTAAAGAGGATTTGTCTAGTGACTCAAAACAATTCTACACAAAACTTTAATCCAGGAAACATCTTTTGTCAAACAATCCCTCAACAACTTCAAACTGAAAATGGCAAATTCTTAAGGAAAAGACACCAAAAAAAAAAAAAAGAAATTCATGCCTTTATCGTTAAAATCCACTTCATGCCCAACAACACACCAAAGCGTTACTCAAAGAAAAAAAGTTAACACTCTGATCTTTGTAGAGATTTTTTTAAATATCTAATTAGTTTAGTGAAACTGTTTAATTAAAGTTGATGTAGTTGTGGTTTAAATTATATATCAGGTTGCTACTGTGGTTTGTGTCCCTTAAGGAAAAATCTCAGATTTCCAGTGAATTCAGACTCAAGACTGAAAGAGTACTGCAGGCATAAACATCTTGTAGCAATTTCTTAGGCAGCATATCAGATACTAAGTCAAACAGACATCCCTTTCTCATGTCTGACAGGGGAGTGGACATGGCTGACAGAAAAATATATATATTTACCAAGCACCTTTGCAGAAATGTCACTGTGAATGAATGCCTTTTCGATGCCTGCGTGATTGAGTACTCAATGAATTGCATGGAATGTATAGAGTTGAATCTGTATTCTATTAATAACTCATTAAAATTTTAAATCTTACTTTCCACATTTAGTTGAGTGGAGTGCAAGCTTAAAAATACACCTCTGGCATTCACTGGCTTTAATGTATTCTAGACTTGAACTTAAATCCGACATGCTATCAAAAAGATAAATTTGAAGACAGTGAAGCAACAAATCTAATCCAGTAACAAGTGGAGTTTCTCACACTGTCAAAGCTTTATTATCAGAGTTTCCTCTGTACTCCATTGTGTTGCAACTATTTGGAGCCAAATTACTTGCTAGCAGCATTTTCCAGTAATCAGAAGACCAAAGCGTATGCCAAACAGCAGAAGAAAGAAAAAAAAATATTGTGATGGAGCACAACATGGCATATTTTGAAAAATGCCGTTTGGTTTGAACACTGTTAAGTGTACTCACATTGATCGATGTTCCCGTCTGCTTTCTCCTTCTCCTGCAAACAGAGAACACACACAAAATTGGTTATTACACAGGCTTGGAGGAGGGAAGGGGGAACAAAACAGCACTTTCCGTGGTTTTTCTCAGACC